TGGGGACACTTTTGGGGACAGGGGGACAATCTGGGGACACAGGGACATCCCTGGGGACAGGGGGACATCCCTGGGGACAGGGGGACATCCTTGGGGGCACCTTTGGGGGCACTTTTGGGGACAGAGGGACAATCTGGGGACACTGAGAGGGACAGGGGGACACCCCTGGGGACACCTTTGGGGACAATTTTGGGGACAGGGGGACACCTTTGGGGACATTGGGACAATTTTGGGGACACCTTTGGGGACAGGGGGACAATCTGGGGACACTGGGAGGGACAGGGGGACACCCTTGGGGACACCTCTGGGGACACGGGGACAATTTTGGGGACACCCTGGGGGACAGGGGGACAATCTGGGGACACTGGGAGGGACAGGGGGACAATTTTGGGGACACCTTTGGGGACAGGGGGACACTGGGAGGGACACAGGCACATCCCTGGGGACACCTTTGGGGACAGGGGGACAACCTGGGGACACCTTTGGGGACAATTTTGGGGACAGGGGGACACTGGGAGGGACAGGGGGACAATCTTGGGGACATGGGGACACTTTGGGGACACCTTTGGGGACAGGGGGACAATCTGGGGACACTGGGAGGGACATGGGGACATCCCTGGGGACACCTTTGGGGACAGGGGGACACTTTGGGGACACTGGGGGGGACAGGGGGACACCTTTGGGGACATTGGGACAATTTTGGGGACACCTTTGGGGACAGGGGGACACTGGGAGGGACAGGGGGACACCCTTGGGGACACCTTGGGGACAGGGGGACAATCTGGGGACACTGGGACATCCCTGGGGACAGGGGGACACTTTGGGGGCACCTTTTGGGGACAGGGGGACACTGGGAGGGACAGGGGGACACCCCCTGGGGACTTGGGGACAATTTTGGGGACACCCTTGGGGACACCTTTGGGGACAGGGGGACACTGAGAGGGACAGGGGGACAATTTTGGGGACAGGGGGACACTGGGATGGACACAGGGACACCCCTGGGGACACCTTTGGGGACAATTTTGGGGACAGGGGGACACTGGGAGGGACACGGGGACATCCCTGGGACACCTTTGGGGACAGGGGGACAATTTTGGGGACACCCTTGGGGACAGGGGGACACTTTGGGGACACCTTTGGGGATGAGGGGACACTTTGGGGACACTGGGAGGGACAGGGGGACAATTTTGGGGACAGGGGGACACCTTTGGGGACATTGGGAGAAGCTTGGGGACACCTTTTGGGGACAGGGGGAGACTGGGATGGACATGGGGACACTGGGAGGGACAGGGGGACACTTTGGGGACACTTTTGGGGACGGGGGGACACTGGGAGGGACAGGGGGACACCCCTGGGGACACCTTTGGGGACATGGGGACAATTTTGGGGACATCTTTGGGGACAGGGGGACACTGGGAGGGACAGAGGGACAATCTTGGGGACATGGGGACACTTTTGGGGACAGGGGGACAATCTGGGGACACTGGGAGGGACAGGGGGACATCCCTGGGACACCTTTGGGGACACCTTTGGGGACAGGGGGACAATTTTGGGGACACCCTGGGGGACAGGGGGACACTGGGAGGGACACGGGGACATCCCTGGGGACACCTTTGGGGACATGGGGACACCTTTGGGGACAGGGGGACAATCTTGGGGACACAGGGACATCCCTGGGGACAGGGAGACACTTTGGGGACACCTTTGGGGACAGGGGGACAATTTTGGGGACACCTTTGGGGACAGGGGGACAATCTGGGGACACTTTTGGGGACATGAGGACAATCTTGGGGACACCTTTGGGGACAGGGGGACACTGGGAGGGACAGGGGGACACCCTTGGGGACATGGGGACAATTTTGGGGACATCTTTGGGGACAGGGGGACACTGGGAGGGACAGGGGGACAATCTTGGGGACAGGGGGACACTTTGGGGACACCTTTGGGGACAGGGGGACACCTTTGGGGACATGGGGACAATTTTGGGGACACCTTTGGGGACAGGGGGACACTGGGAGGGACACGGGGACAATCTTGGGGACACCTTGGGGACAGGGGGACAATCTGGGGACACTGGGAGGGACAGGGGGACAATCTTGGGGACAGGGGGACACTTTGGGGACATGGGGACAATTTTGGGGACACCTTTGGGGACGGGGGGACACTGGGATGGACACAGGGACACCCTTTGGGGAAAGGGGACAATTTTGGGGACACCCTTGGGGACAGGGGGACACTGGGAGGGACAGGGGGACACTTTGGGGACACCTTTGGGGACAATTTTGGGGACAGGGGGACACTGGGAGGGACAGGGNACAGGGGGACACTGGGAGGGACAGGGGGACACTTTGGGGACACCTTTGGGGACAATTTTGGGGACAGGGGGACACTGGGAGGGACAGGGGGACACCCTTGGGGACACCTTTGGGGACGGGGGGACAATCTGGGGACACTGGGAGGGACAGGGGGACAATTTTGGGGACAGGGGGACACTGGGAGGGACACAGGGACATCCCTGGGGACACCTTTGGGGACGGGGACAATCTGGGGGACACCTTTGGGGATGAGGGGACACCCTGGGGACACCCTTGGGGACAATTTTGGGGACAGGGGGACA